GTCTACCAGACACAAAAAAGCACTGATACCAACCCTACTGAAACTGTTCAGTAGGAGGAGGGCCTTCTCTCTAACTGATTCTATGAAGGCACCATCATCCTGATACAAAAATCTCACAGAGACATAAGAACAACAACAAAAAAGAAAACTTCAGGATAATATCTCTGATGTACACAGATGCAAAAATCCTCAATAAAGTACTAACAAACTGAATCCAGTAGAACCTCAAAAAGTTAATTCATCATGATCAAGTAAGCTTTATTCTTGAATTCAAGGGTGGTTCAACATATGCAAATCAACAAATGCAATTCACCACCTAAATAGAATTAAAAACAAAGATCATATGATCTCTCAATAGATGCAGGAAAAGCCTTTGATAAAATCCAATATTCATTCAGGGTAAAACCTCAGCAGAATAGGCATCAAAGGAACTTACCTTAAAATAATAAGAACCACCTTATGACAGACCCACAGCCAACATCATACTGAATGGACAAAAGCTGGAAGCATTTCTCTTGAGAACTGGAACAAGAAAAGAATGCCCACTCTCACTACTTCTATTCAACATAGTACTGGAAGTCCTACCCAGAGCAATCAGGCAAGAAAAAGAAATAAAAGACATCCAAATAGGAAAAGAAGAAGTCAAAGTATCTCTCTTTGCTGGGAATATGATCCTATACATAAAAAAAAAAAAAAAAAAAAAACCTAATGATGTTGCAAAAAGCTTCATGGAACTGACAAATTCAGTAAAGTTTCAGGATACAAAATCAATGTACAAAAACTAGCAACACAACATTTCTATATACCAATACCATTGTAGTTGATACCAAATTGAAAGCACAATTCCATTTATAATAGCTAAAAATGCATGTAATACCTAGGAATTTATTTAACCAGTGATGTGAAAGATCTCTAAAAGAGTAACTACAAAGCACTGCTGAAAGAAATCAGAGATGACACAAATGAACGGAAAAGTATTTCATGCTCATGTACTGGAAGAATCAATATTGCTAAAATGGCCATGCTATCCAAAGCAATTTACAGATTAAAAGATGTCCCTACCAAAATACCAATGTCATATCTCACAGTATTAGAAAAATCTGTCCTCAAATTCATTTGGAACCAAAAGAGAGCATGAGTAGCCAAAGAATCCTAAGGAAAAAGGACAAATCCATAGGCATCATAATATACTACAGGGAGACAGTAACCATAACAGCATGGTACTGGTATAAAAACAGACACAAAGAGCAATGGAATGAAACAGACACCCCAGAAATAAACCCATACACTTACAACCATCTTTTTTTTTTATTATACTTTAAGTTCTAGGGTACATGTGCATAACGTGCAGGTTTGTTACATATGTATACTTGTGCCATGTTGGTGTGCTGCACCCGTCAACTCGTCAGCACCTGTCAACTCGTCATTTACATCAGGTATAGCTCCCAATGCAATCCCTCCCCCCTCCCCCCTCCCCGTGATATGCCCCGGTGTGTGATGTTCCCCTTCCCGAGTCCAAGTGATCTCATTGTTCAGTTCCCACCTATGAGTGAGAACATGTGGTGTTTGGTTTTCTGTTCTTGCGATAGTTTGCTGAGAATGATGGTTTCCAGCTGCATCCATGTCCCTACAAAGGACAAAAACTCATCCTTTTTTATGGCTGCATAGTATTCCATGGCGTATATGTGCCACATTTTCTTAATCCAGTCTGTCACTGATGGACATTTGGGTTGATTCCAAGTCTTTGCTATCTTATCTTTGACAAAATAGACCAAAAAAGAGCAACAGGGAAGGGACTCCCTATTCAATAAATGGTCCTGGGATAACTGGCTAGCCACATGCAGAAGAATGAAACTGTACCACTACCTCTTACCGTACACACAAATTAACTCAAGATGGGTTAAAGATTTCAGTGTAAGACCTTAAATTATAAGAATTCTAAAAGTAAACGTGGAAAATACCCTTCTCCACATTGGTTTTGGCAGAGAATTTATGGCTAAGTCCCTGAAAGCAATCGCAACAAAATAATAATTGACAAGAGTACCTAAAGAGCTTCTGTACAGCAAAAGAAATTACTAACAAAGTGAACAGACAGCCTACAGAATGGGAGAAAATATATGTAAACTATGCAAGCAATAAAAGTCTGATATCCAGAATCTACAAGGATCTCAAGTCAATAAGCAAAAATAGAATAATCCAGTTTAAAAATGGGCAAAGCATAAGAACACACACTTACTAAAAGAAGTCATACAAATGGTCAGCAAACATATGAAAAATGCTCCACATCACCACTCTGATTTGCATCAGAGAAATGCAAGTCAAAACTGCTATGAGATATCATCGCACACTAGTCCAAATGACTATTATTAAAAAGTCAAAAAACAGTAGATGCTGGCAGGGCTATGGAGAAAAGAGACTGCTTATATCCAGTTGGTAGGAGGGCAAACTTGTTCAGCGACTGTGGAAAGCAGTTTGGAGATTTCTCATAGAACTTAAAACAGACGTACTATTTGACCCAGCAATCCCATTACTGGGTTTATATCCAAAATAAAATAAATCATTCTAGCGAAAAGACACATGCACTTGCATGTTTGTTGCAGCACTATTCACAATAGCAAAGACATGGAATCAGTCTAGGTGCCTATAAACGGTGGGTTGGTTAAAGAAACTGTGGTACACATACATCATGGAATACTATGTGGCCTTAAAGAAGGATGAAATCATAGTCTTTGCAACAAAATGAATGAAGCTGGAGGCCATTATCCTAAGTGAATTAATGCAAGAACAGAAACCAAATACCACATGTTCTCACTTATAGGTAGGAGCTAAATATGGAATACACATAGACATAAAGATGGGAAAAAGAGACACTGGGGACTACTAAAGGAGTGAGGTATGAAAGAAGGCATGGGCTGAAAGACAATCTAATGGGTACTATGCTCACTACCTGGACGATGTGATCACTTGTACCGAAAACCTCAGCATCAAGCAATATACCCATGTAACACGCCTGCACATGTACTCTTTATAATAAAATTTGAAATTATTGAAAAAATAAAATTAAAAAAGAAGGAAAATATCTAGCATTCCAAAATACAAATGTGCCATGTATATCTAGTATTGGTCTCTTTCCATGAAATTACTAGAAAAGAACCCAGATCCACAATCCTTAAGATGGGGGTTACAAAAGGTGGTAATTTTCACTACTATGAAATCCACCAGATTTTGGTTTTCTTTTGTTATACAGAGTTCTGGCATCTAACTATTAGGAGGCATCCTAAGGGAAACTGTCTGCTGTCAAGTTATTACATTATTACATTTTTACCTAATAATATTATTATTACATTATTACATTTTCTGTTTATACTTTTCCACAGTTGCTAATATTCTACTCGGTTTACTTATTTAGTATTGTCCTGATTTTAATTACGTGCATTATTATTTTTTAAATGGGTACTTTTACTTCAACAAGATTTAAACCTTGTTGAAAATTTAATCCTGTTAAATCTTCTCCTAAAATTTTCCTAGAATTCACACACTAAAAAGTTGTATGATAGTTGATAAAGGGAGCTTTGGCTAGGTGTTTTACCATTGTACCTAGGGAAATACATTTAAAAGTACATGACAAACATTAAAATAAAGTAAGAATATAGAGTTGATATTAAAATCTGTTTCACAAACATCATAATAAGGACAAAGAAAGCAAACATTTTTAATTCCTTGCCACCTAAAATTAATTTTTCACAGAAAGTGAATTCCAACTTAGTATTGGCTGTACCACATAAAAGGAATAGAGTAAGGGAATTATGGTGGACCTTATGCAGGCCATTAAATCCAGCTTTTTTCTTCTTTTTTCTACCTAAAGACTTTCTTTTGTAAATATTTGTTTATAATGATCGTTGTCCTAACCAGAAAAAATGAAGATAATGATACGTTAGTAGTTGGGACCTGGGTAAGGTCCTCCTTTCTCAACGGATCTACTCATGTCAATATGCACTAAGTGACCTAAGAAAGAATAGGAAGACTACTGGCTGGGTCAATGCTTTAACCTTGTTCAAACACTGGATTCAGAAAAATGGGCCTGTTAAGTTAGAGGGTCCAATAACATCAGACTCTTGAAACACATATATTAATAGCAGCGTAACAAGTCGGATTGAAGAGCAGAGAGCAAGGGAAGTAGTCGTTTCAAGAACATCCAGACCTTATCCCAAAACAGTCACACTGTGGCATGTGTGGACCGAGGGAAGAAAATGCCTATTTGTTTGCTTACAAAGAGCGCACTTGATACATGCTGTAATAGTAGTTTGAGCTCCAAACAATTCAGCTATTATAAAAAGCAATCCATCCTCAGCATCCTCACCCTATCTGTATCCCTTTCGCCAAGTAATTAAAGAAAATAAAAGAGAACAAGTCATTTTGGGTATAACTCCAGGAGACAATCAGACAATATGAACCATGATGGCAAAGGATTTTTAGCACTAAACCAAGAACAGCCACAGTGTGGTTTTTGTGTCGGGGCAGTGAGTGCCTTGGAGTGGCAGTTACCACTGAACCTTCTGTAGAGAAGGATGCTGTACAGGTCTTAATCCAGTGACTTCAATGTAACTGACAGGAAAAGAAATCTAGTAATGTATTCTACCTAGACGATACATGTTGGATACATTTGGGGGCCTTGAATTCCTCACATTTACTTGAGGGGAGGGATTTTGCAAGAGATATAAATTTCTCCAAGAGCAAATGGGAAGACAGGACCTGAAACACCATATGTACTTGCAGAAAAATAAAATCTAGTGTTGTAATGAAAATTTCACAACTTTTTTTCATCTTTAAATCTGCTTTTAGTATTTCAAGATTTTTATCCTTCCTACATATAAAATCTATTTGTTATAATGCATTGTGCAATTCACAGTTTTCTGGTGCCTTTACTTTTAAAAAAAAGCTGTAAAAATGTATGTTGAGTGTGGTGAGTGTCTGCTAGCGGGGGGCGGTTCAATACATACGGGTCTTTCTAGCAGAGTCTTCCACAAAAAGAGAAGAGATGTCTTCATCCACTCCTGCTTCATTCTTTGCGATACAAGTGTATGCTCCAGTATCTTCATAGCGCACATTGCTTATGTGAACCTCACTGCCATTTGCTGAAAAAGAAGGGAAATGAAACTTGTAAACTACAATTTCAGTTTTGGAACAGTGCTTTCTGATTACACAGTCAAACAGTTCTCTTGGCTTGTCCTAATTAAACTGTTTCCCTTCCTACTTCTATACTTTGAAGACATGCCAAATTATTCCAGAAGCATACAAGTGTTCATAAACCGTGCTGTCATTCTATAAGACAGCCCAATACTCTATGTCAAATGCATATTTTATGTTTCATACCATTTCCTATATTCTACATTGTATATGAGGTATTTCATATTGATAAGTATAATTTCAGTTATGTATTTACTTATAATATTCAGAACCTATATTCCCCTAAGCTTTTTCAGAAATCTAATAATAGCAATATGATTAGCTTGCAGGTAAATACATATGAAAGATGTTTTCAAAGAGTAATTAACTGAGCTAAATCATACAGGTATACTATTGCCATTCATCAAGCTTATTATTATTATTACTATTATTTTGAGACAGAGTCTTATTCTGTCGCCCATGCTGGAGTGCAGTGGCGCGATCTCGACTCCCTGAAACCTCCGCCCCCCAGGTTCAAGCAATTCTCCTGCCTCAGCTTCCCGAGTAGCTGGGACTACAGGCCCACACTGCCACCCCTGGCTAATTTTCTGTGTTTTCAGTAGAGATGGGGTTTCACCATGTTTGCCAGGCTGGTCTCGAACTCCTGACCTCAGGTGATCTACCTGCCTCGGCCTCCCAAAGGGCAGGGATTACAGGCGTGAGCCACCACACCCGGCAGTTGAGTGTTTGTTGTAGTCATTTGTTTAAGTTTCTCTTTCTTTTCTTTTTCTTTGTTTTCTTTCTGTGTGTATGTGTGTGTGCATGCCTCTGTGTGTGTGTTTGTGTACATAGTTGTGTCTGTGTGTTCCATGTTGTGCAGTTACAAGAACCACACATGCAGTAGAATGGGACATGACTATCAGTGACAGGTAGAAGGCAACATAATCAGTGTGGTTTGGGAAAACAAGGGTAGAAAACCAATGAGAAAAGAGCTTGATTGCCATCGCTAGGAGCCCAGTAGCTCCCAAGGGATGTGAGATATGGAGAGGCAGTGGATGTGGATGTTTGAGAGAGATAATCATTTGAATAACTTGAACTTCTTTCTTTATTTGCAAATGCTTACTACACACCCTCATTCCTCGCATCATTCATTGAGAATCACTACTCCAAAAAAGGGATTGGCAGGTTTTCATTTTGTTGCAACAGGCCAGGTGTAAATAATTTAGGCTTTGTGGGTCACACAGTTTCTGCGGTAACGACTAACTTCTGCCATAACAGCATTAAAGCAGCCACACAATATGTTTTGAAAAATGAGTGCTACTGTATTCTAAAGACAAACCAACCACAACAAGGAGAGAAAAAAAAAAAAAAGCAAAAACAAAAACAAAAACAAAACCCACCTTTATTTCAAAAAACAGACAGCTATCTAGATATGGTCTGTGGGTCTTAGTTTATAGGAACCTGCTCTAAAGATAGGTAGTGAACAATGTATTTACATTTGCTTCACCTTTTTGTTTTATATAAGATATGGCCTCCTCCAAAATCACACCTATTTTTTTTCTCAGGATCCACACACTTAACAGCCTAAATTCTCTGGGTTTTGTTTTGAAATATCAAATAAATTTCTTCCTTCTTAAAATGCTGTCTCTCAAAATTTTTACACGTTCTCCTAACCTATATGTCCCGTTGTCTTTCCTTCTCTTCCTATGTGATCTAGCATTCCTAGATGTTGCCACTCTATTGCCAGAACTACCAATCCCTTTATCTATTTACCATCCTGACACATCTGCCTTCCTAACCTCTAGAACTAGAGTAAGCTAACCCGTCCCTGCATCTGGTGTCCCTGCACCTAGTTCTTTGAGTAAGTTATGAGACTATTGTATAAGCAAGTTTATAATTTTCAGATTCACAGTTTTCAATTCCTAGGACATTCAAAACTACTTGCTATTCATTTCACTTCACCTTTCCAGTTAGATGCCTTTCATATCCACCTCTGCTTTTACTTCAAATCTTTATATACTTTGTTTGATGTTTCCCATCATAATAGTAACTCTCAGCAAGTGATCTTGCTCTTTCAATCGTGAGGTAAATAGAAGTGATCAGAAAGCAGCCTCAAAACTTTCTGTTCCTAGTTTCACCTTGATTTACTTCTCACAGGAAATTTTCTGTTTCTTTCCAAGGCAAATCTCCCCTTATTTCTTATTGGTTTCTATGACTCTTCCTGCAGCCTTCATCCTTCTCATTTCTCCCTACTGATACTTTCTCAGATTGATGAATTATCCAAGAAGAAATATCTCCATCAGTTCTAAGCCTCCCCACCAGGAGCTGGCCAAAAAAGATTTTTGTATTTCTTGTCTCCTTTTCATTTCTAAACACATTGAAAACTGATTGTTACTGATACTGCTTTGCTAAATGTCACAAGAACATGCTCATCACTTGAAGTAAACACTTATCAATGTCTTTTATTGAACTTTCTATGCATTTGCCATTGTCGAACTCTTTATTTTTAACTTTCTCTTCTTCCATGCTATCACCTAGTTTCCTGTCTTCTGATGAATTTTAGTCTCTTTCTATTATTTTCTTCACTTGTCTGTTAATAAAATATTTGTGCTTTCTTAGGATTTTACTCTCTCTAATTCACATATTATCCCAGCCATTGCCATAGATATTAAATTAGTGTCTGGACTTGGACTTCACATACAAACACTAAAGAAGCATCTGATGAATAAGTAGATAATTAAATAGTTATTAAGCCACATGGAGTTTTATACCCCATGTGCTTAGAATTATCTCTTCTCTCTTTTTTTTTTTTTTTTTTTTTTTGTCATATTCTCGTAAAACTTTAGCTATTTTTCCCTGTTGTAAAAACTGACAGTAATTTCTTTGCAGTCTGGAGTGTAACAACTTCAAAAATGCATTGTCATGTATATTCCTGAGAGAAAAATTTGACATACTTTTATAATACGGTTTATTGCTATTAAATGGACAAGAGAGAAAGTCAGAGCTATTTAGATTTTTATTCATTTCATTTCTGTTAATCAGATAAGTCTTCTCCTCTCACATTATAGACCTCTCGAGGTAATCACTAGATATGTGTGCAAATGTGTCTGACCTATGTATGCACATTAGTGATTTCTAGGATTAAAGTTTTTAAAGTTTAAGGACAGTTTCACAGACATGTCTCTATTGACTTGCAAGAATAAGTAAAAGTTTTAAAAAGTTTTATTTAAAAATGTATAATTACATATATCCATTATTAAAGTGGAATAATAATAGAACTCTATGTAATAAAGTGACAAAATATGTTCATGTTTAATAGTATAAATTAAAGAAAATTAAAGTTATAAAATAAGAATTATAATGCCCACGAAGAAGATAATCCAGTAAAATGAGTGTTGTGTGTTACCCCAACAATGAAAAAAAATTTGTGCTTTTTTTAACGCTAATATAATTAATATATTATATGCAACTGCTTTTGGACTATTTAAATGATTTGATCTTACAAATCTTGCCTGCTTTTGTTTATTTTCCACATATTTGAGAGTATCATTATCTAATATACAGTAATTTATTCATATCTACACATTAGAATATTAGAATATGTACAATGTTTTGTATATTAGAATGTAATACAAAACTTTAAAAAATGTAAATGGAAAACATTTAGTAACTTTTTGATATTTTTCTCACTTCATTTAGAAAATATGCTAAAAATTTCATGAAAAATTCTGTATTGAAATCCTCTATAATATATATTCAAGGTTTTACTTAAACATTTAAAAATTAACTTCAGAAATGAATTTCTGTGAAAGGATCTAATTATTCTGTTCAGCATAACTGCTATAATTCACAGGACAAGTATTTTAAAGACACATAATTTAATATTTTACTTATCACCAAAATAATGACACAATTAATCATTATGACAAGACTATTATTAAAAACATTAAAATGTTAAAAGAGTCTTTCCCATATAATTTCTTAGACATATGCATTTTTTCATGTTTGTGACATTCTGTTGCCAGCAACACTCATTTTTCTTTTATTTTCCAAATAACGTTATATATTTTAGTATAAATTTTCAACATGGTCATTTAAGAGAAAAAAAATGCAAGTAAAAAGCACCTTGAAGTGTGAGTTGTTTGGACAGCTTTGGTGTAATATCAATTCCATTCTTCAACCAGCCAAGCTGAGGCTTTGGTATGCCCTCTGCATGGCACCTAAGACTGGCAGTTACCCCAGGCTCTCTAGCCTGACTCTCTGGATACACCCGGATGACTGGAGGAACTAAAGGAAAAAATGAAAGAGAAAGTGAATTAGTGATTCATATTTTCTATTTAATTTTCCAAAAGAAACAAAAATTGCAATAAGATAAATAATAAATTATATATTTTAATGATGCTATACATTTCTACAGATTGTAGTTTCCAAATAGCATTATCCACTGAAATGTACCAGTGTTAACTGGATAACAACTATTCTGGGATTTTGCTAGGGAAAATATAAGGTGAGCCTGGAATACCTTATTTCAGAAATTAAAGAATTCCTCAAAGAATGATGAGGCATACCAAAAGGATACAAAAACCAGTTAAAAGAGACTCCAATTTGCTAAATATGGGACAATTTGAGCACTGAAATAATTAGTAATTACAAGGGAGTATGAGGAATTAAATAAAACTATGAATTCAGTTATATAAATAAATGAATGAGTATAAAATGGAAGGAAAATAAAATCTTTTTATTAGAGCCTGTTAGGAAATTAATAATTCCATTTACAGTAGTATCAAAAAATAAAGTATTTAGGAATAAAGTTCACCAAAGAGATGCAAAACTTTCATACTAAATACTGTGAAACTTTGTTGAAAGAATTTGAAGAAGACTGAAATAAATCTGAAGACTGAAATAAATTTGAAGAAGACTGAAATAAATCCAAATGTATTCCTGGATTGAAAGAACTGATTGGTATCATGGTACAAATTGGCAAAGGCTTTTGGTAAAGTGATCATACTCCTAAGTTGACAAAGACAAATAAAGGAAAAACGAAGGTACAGGGTAATTCTTATCAAAGTTCTAACTGCATTTTTTTTTCGAGAAATTAAATAACTTATCCTCAGATAAATGTGAAATTACAGGAGACCCCCAAGTGGTGAAAAAAAGTCTTGAAAAAGTACAAAGCTGTGGGGCTCATACCTGCTGATTTCAAAACATACAATGAAGCTACAGTAATCAAAGCAGTGCAATCCTAACACAAAGATGGAATAGACTTGGGAGTGTAGAAATAAACAAACATTGATGGTCAATTTTTTTTTCAATCATTCTGGGACAATTAGAAAACCACATGCAAGAAAATAGACCTGAACTCCTACCTCATACCACAAAAAAAATTGAATTCAAAATAAATCAAATACTTAAATGTAGGAGTTAAAACAATAAACTTTCAGAAGAAAACATTGAATAAATGTTTCTGATCTAGGAGTGGACAATGGTTTCTTCTAGATATGACCCAAAAGCACAAGCAACAACAAAAAATAAATATATTAGATTTTGTAGTGCATCAAAGGACACTATTTTAAAAAAGTATAAATACAACTCACAAAATAGTAAAAGATATTTGAAAAGTCTGATGGTATCCAGAATATATAAAGAAATGTTACAAATCAGAACTAAAAAGCCAACAACTCAATTAAAATTTGGGACAAAAAAATTGAATAGTCATTTCTCCACTGAAGACATATAAATGGCTAATAAACATATGAAAAGATTCAAAAATTTTTAAAAAAATCAAAAAGAAGGAAATGCAAATCCAAACCACTACATGTTACCACTTCACACCCTCTGGAATGGCTATTTAAACCAACAAACAAAAATCAGAAAATAACATGTTGGTTGAGTATGTGGAGAAACTGGAACTCTTTCACATTGCTGGAGGGAATATAAAATGATGCAGCCATGCAATAAAAATGCATTCTACTGCATTTTTAAATACTAATGCATTCTACAACATGAATATTGGAGGTATTATGCTAAGTGAGAGGAATCAGACACAAATGTTTACATATTATATTAATTCATTTATAAAATGTTCAGAATGGGCAAATCCATGGAGACAGAAAGCAGATTGGTTGTTGCTAGGGACTGAGGAAAGGGAGGAATGGGAAATCACTGCTTAATGGATATGAGGTTTATTTGGGGGTGACAAAAATGTTCTAGGCTTAGATAGTCGTGATGGTTACACACACTGTAAATATATTATAAGTTACTGTATGGTTCATTTAGGCACAGTTAAATGGCATGTGGATTTTATCTGAATAAAAAAGGAAAGGCAAAGAAGGCCAATGAAACTAGACTAAAAGAAATGAGTTATAATAAATAAATAAAATATGCAAATCAATATTGGGTCCTGGACTCAGAAAAATAAGCTATAAAGTGTATTACTAAGAGAATTGACAAAACTTAAATATGGTCCCTGTATTGGCCGGGTGCAGTGGCTCACGCCTGTAACCCCAGTACTTTGGGAGGCCGAGGCGGGTGGATCACCTGAGGTCAGGAGTTCAAGACCAGCCTGGGCAACATGGTGAAACCCCGTCTCTACTAAAAATACACAAAATTTAGCTGGTCATGGTGGCGCATGCCTATAATCCCAGCTACTTGGGAGGCTGAGGCAGGAGAATCGCTTGAGCCCAGGGGGATGGAGGTTGCAGTGAGCCAAGATTGTGCCATTGCACTCCCACCTCAAAAAAAAAAAAAAAATATATATATATATATATACACACACACACACACACTCACACACACACACATATATTTTATACATATGTGTGTATATATATATAGTCCCTGCATTATATATTGAGACACTACTAATGTTACATTTGCTGATTTGATAATTGCATTTTGATTAGGTAAAATAATTTTCTTTATAGAAGTCACTCACTGAATTAACTAGTGATGAATACAATCTCAAACTTTTTTGCAATCTTTTATATATGTATAAAATTATTGATATTAAAATGAGATGTCTTAAATATAGCATTAGGCATAATTATAGAAACACTCAACAATTAAAAGTGAGATGTGGATTAACTGATAACTTTCTAGTAATGTTGAAAAAAATGATAATTATTGATTCTGATTATCTTCCTGACTAGGACTTAAAATCCTGGAAAAGTTTACGGAAAGCGTTTTCAGAAACCATAAGTAACTTAGGGATAAAATGAGGAATGGCAGAATGAGTACGGAAGAAACTTTAAGGTTCATGGAAGTGAGCTACAGCTGTTTCTCCCTCAAGAGTAGTTCCCAAAGCAGGTGAAGATTCTGAAGTCAGAATTGATTACTAATCAAGGGTATTTTATTTCTGTCTTTTTCTCCCATGTATATACACATATGCATGTGTGTGCACATGTAATTTAAAAAATAATAAGACATCTTGAGAGGTTTTGTATTTTTTTTCTTTTAGCCATTAATTAATTCAGTGTGTGTTTCTTTAAGATCTGGCCCTGTTGCTACATTGAATCAAATGTAGTGATTTATCTCTTCTACCTTACCAGACCCCAAAACTTCTGGGAAGCCAGGATTATGTATTTATTTATGGTTTACAAATACATGCCAATATCAGGGAATCAGCTGATTCTGGTAGGCAGTCTCAACTAAAGTAAATGGGCTTAGTATTGTGGTCCCACAATAACTGTGGCTGGAGATCCTGACATAGGAACAGTTTCTCTGTACTAGGTCACTAGTTGCATTGCATTTAATTGGCCACAAAATGTCCAAAGATTCATTGCAAGATCTCTGGTACCTCCCAGTGCCTGACAGTCATAGATGGAATACCGCTGTTAAAGAACCTATTATCTTTATAATTAAAATAATTTTGAAAATGGTTTATGAAATCAAGTTTGCTGAATGCAACAAAATATCTCAAGGCTTGCCTCAAGAAAATACAAACTTAACCAGTAAAAAATAAAAACAACAGTCAAGTTTTAAAAAGCCACCAAATTCTGGTAACTGGAGTTATTATTCATCTATGCTTCCTGTGTTTAAAGAGTTGATAGCTAAACATAAAAAGTTAGGAAGTTATATACCATAATATTGTAATTAAAATAAATCAACTAGAAATGCTATAATATTTTTAAATGACAAAAACAGAAATTATAAACTGAATGCTTGTATTTAACTCCAGATTAGATACAGCTGAAGAAGAAAGGAGCTAATAGAAAGTTAAGTCAGAAAAAAATCATATGCACAATAAAGCACAGAGGTACAAAACACAGAAAATACAGATGAGAGAGTAAGTGAATACAGAATAGATTAAGAATACCTTACTAAAGTAAAAGAAGAGAGCAGTATTTGAAGAGGTAATCATTGTGATATTCTCAGTTCTGTGTAAGACATCAAACCAGTGATTCCAAAAGCCTAAAGATGATGGACTTTCTTAAAAAAAGGCGATATATAGACATTACAGTAAAATTATAGAATACCAAAGAAAAAAAGACAAATCATAAAAAGCAACCCCAAGAAACAAAATGGCATACCAAGAAAGTCAGACTGATAGCTAAATTCTTACAGAAATGGTAAAAACTAAACAGAACAAATTATAGACAGTTTTATGCCAACACATAACTTTAAATAAAATGAACAGATTTCTGGAAACGCAAGCATCTAACAGAACCTACACAAAAAGTAGTACAAAATCTAAAAAGTCTTATAACATTTAAATACATTTAATTTATTTAAAAACTTTTAATCAAAGAAAACTTTAGAACTTTCCCAAAATAAAGTAAAAATAACACCAATCTTATACAAACTCTTTTAGAGAATAAAACGGGGCTAGAGGCATCTCTTTGGTAGTGTTAAAATATCTCTGTCAGTTGTTGACACTCCTGTCTTCAAAAGGTAGAGGCTAATTGTTCTCACCTTACACATGGGACCTATGGGCTGGATTTAATGATGTACTGTTAATGAACAGAGCTGTGGCAAAGTAATGGTGCATAATATCCACGATTAGGTCATAAAAGGTATTGCAATATTTTCATTGTTCTCTTGCTTTTGTGGAATTCAACTGCCATGTCATAAGATACTGAATTAGCCTTATGGGGATGCTTATATATCAAGGGGCAGAGAGAGGCCCCATGACAACAGCCAGCAAAAAACTAAGGCCTCATGCCAATAGCCATGTGAGTGAGTAATCTTAGAAGTAGATATGCCAGCCCCAATCAAGCTTTCAGATGACTACAGCCGTGACCAACATATTGATTGAAATCTCAGAAAAGACCTTGTGCCAGGATCACCTA